ACATGACATATATTTTTCAACTTGATTGGCTGGCACGAAAGATTAGCCTAAAAGTGTTACATGTGTTGGAGATACGACGAAAAAAGGCTAACAGCAAAGCTTTCCATTGGACATAGAACAAAATACAGACGCTATATCTACAAAAGTATGACGTAAATCTTCACAAGTTTTGTTTTGGAGATAGAACAAACTAATACTAAAATAAATGTGCAGTTATCTCATTTTTGGTAAAAATGGAGTTAGGACATTTTTAGAATAAGGCGACGAAACAGAAATTGAAAATGCTATTTTTATGATATTATACTGTCTATCTCGATTTGAGTGAAAAGCCTTGCGACACTTTCCTATTTGGAGTTTGATCTCCATCAAAGGGAACATTAATCTCGAAAAATTATTTCCAGTCCAATCGTGTCACGTAGAGTCCCTTTAATATGTGCTACTAAATCCCGCTGAAAACGAATCTGCTTTTCATAAAAATAACTTATTGTGCTACTTACAGTAATATGACGGTTTCCAATTACTATTTTAGTAATCTCTTAACATTTTACAGGTAAAACGAAACGTCGGAGAAAATGGGAGGTGTTCCCCGGAGGGAATAAATTCTGTTGTAAAGGAAGATATATCCGTGGACCTGATAGCACCGGATACCTGATCACTCTCGCCTTGATCTTGATCATAGGTATTATTGTATTATAATAGTACGGGTTGCGACCTTCGTGGTCAATTCCTACACATTAAAACAAACAACCGGTGTTTAATAGCTCTGAGACCGATATTTTTCTCAATTATAATGGTTATATTGCGTTTATAACTAGTGATGTCCCGTGATTTACTTAATTATCGTTTTTTTTAAATTTAAACTATCATCTGTGAATTGTCATTTAAATCACTGAAGGAACATATATATCGTGTAATATATACTGTAAACTACACGAAGGGTAACAAGTTTCAAAATGGCTAACATGGGCAGTACGTGAAACCTCACATCAATTAAGGCATTACTTTTAAACTATTAATTCAAATCAATACGATATTCATTCCCACAAAATAGTTCACTTAATTAAATGTTTCTATCCGTCTTTTTGCTTCATCATATTAGTTTTTGAGTGAATAAATGCACTATATTTCGACAGTATTATTGTTGTTTTGTAAAACCTATCAGATTTAATTAACCACTACTTCTCGGAACATACGTACCCTTTCTGCTTTATAGTATAATCTTTGTTTGATGGTACTTGTCTATTAGATGCATGATTTTATTTAATAGGAGAAAAACAAGTAAACTGTCAAAATAACAACATAAATTTAGCAGTAAAAATGTGCATAAATGATCGGTGTGACTATATAGAAAGATTTCCATTTGACTGACAAGGGTTTTCACTTCAAATTGTTATATGTAAATTTTATTTTTCAACGTAAATCAATTTATATCATCGTTGTTGTTCATATTTTAATAATTACATTTTTAATTGTTTCTATTTTAGGAGTGCTGTTTTTCAGCTTCGACAGCATGTATCTATCAAAAAGAGTAAGCCCAGTGGTTCCAGCTTCAGGGGTGCCCTTCTTTCTTCTTATGCTGGTATTGTTCAACGTGACCGCTTTTACTGACCCCGGAATTTTACCACGAGCCACCGCTTACGATATTGAAAAACAGGAAGAAATTAACTACAAAACAGACGACAACGGGTCGCGTTACACGGAAACAGATATCAAAGGAAGAGTTTTCCAGCAGCAATACTGCAGAACGTGTAAGATCTACAGACCGCCCAGGTCATCCCATTGCAGTGTCTGTGATAACTGCGTGGAAAGGTTTGATCACCACTGCCCATTTGTCTCCAATTGCATCGGAAAAAGAAATTATAAACATTACTTTATCTTGTTAATTATAGCTACCGTGCTGTCATGTTACGTCATTGGCTGTAACGTGGCAGTTATCTCTTTCCGGGCACAAGAATATCCAATCAACGAAGCTTTTATGAAGTCAATACCCAGTGTTATTGAAGGAATCCTTTGCTTATTTATACTGTTAACCGGACTTTTATGTCTTGTAGTTTATCATACACGACTTGTTTGCCGAGAAGAAACCACGAACGAATCGTTAAAAGACACATTTGCTAATAACATAAACCCATTCAGCCAGGGAAGCTGGTACTCCAACTGCTTTTATATCCTGTGCACACCTAAAGCACCAAAGTTGTTGGACAGACGAGGATTTGAAGATGATGCAGACGTAAGCCAAGAGTCAAGTAAAAACCTACCACCTCCACCAATTTAAAGACTCTAAACTTTTAATTGACTTTTTAGTAGAATCTACAAGATTATTTTTTTGTAATTGCCGTTATCAAGAAAAAATGTCATTCTGTTAGTATTTGAGATTGTTTGAGGATTCATTTTGCCTGTTGGGTTATCACTTTTTTATATTGTCAACACACTACCTTTTATTAAAAACAACTGTATCACTCCTATGAATGGTATTGTTTTGTTGTTTTTTTTATTGTTGATATTGTTGTTGTTGTTGTTTTGTGTGTTTTTTTAAAGCCAAACAAATTTATGCTTTGATGTTTATTTAATCATTTTTAGCTCCATCTTTGAAACAAATTTCGAGCTATTTCTACAGCCAGGTTGTCGTTCCAATTGCCGTTCAAAAACATTTGACACATTTTTCATAAAGTTACGAGGTGAGCTATAGTGATCGCTTTTCGTCCGGCGTCTGTACGCACAACCGAATAAGTATAGGGGGCCACCTAAGTGTAAACAGAACAAAAGAGAACATAAGAATTCATTCCATAATAATAGAGTATGGGGCACATGACCCTCTATTAAACAAAAGAAAATAACAAAAGAAATGGCCCCTTATCCTATTTCGGCCCACGGACATCCATCCATCGTTCGTCAGTAAACTTTTATTTTTACTTCCTCATAAACCCCTAATTCAATTTCATCCAAACTTCACAGGAATGTTCCTTTGATGGTCATCTTCGAAAATTGTTCAAAGAATTTACTTCCATGCAGACCTATGGTTAGGGGTCATTGATTTTTCTAATATGTATTTAGTAAAGACTTTAAAAATCTTCTTTAAAAAAAAACACACACAAAAAGCTATAGCTTAGATATTAAACATGAGACATCTTCTAGCGAGTGTCTGCTCAGTTTGTTCAAATAAAAGGTATTGGGTCAAAATTGGCCCCGCCAAGGCGCGTCATTGATTTTCCTTATAATTAATTATGTATACGGTAAAAACTTAAAAATCTTCTTAAAAAATGGAGCTAGAACTGAGATATTAAGCATGAAACATTTTCTAACGGGTGTCTACCATGTTGTTCAAATAAAAGCCCTGGGGTCAACATTGGCCCCGCTTCGGTAGTCATTAATTTTCTTTATATGTACACATTTTTTTTTTGGAACTGTTGTTTTCCCTTAGCAATAGCAACCAGTAATGTTGTTACACATGAACTATTTCAGATACAAATATGAACTTTGTGATTTCAGTTTAAGATATAGACTTGTTATCAGCTATTGTTGATAGTTTACAATATTACTTGTTCCTTGGCATGGAGACCTTTTATATTCAGGTGAGCGATTTCAGGGCAATCATGGTCCTCTTGTTGAGTTATTGCCCTTTGATAATTTTCATACTTTATTTTTGTCCGGGCCATTTCTCCTAATGTATTTATAAAAGCTATGGACTTGAAACTTCATAGGATGATAGATCTCATTAAGAAAAAGTGCAGTGCACAAGAACTGGTACTCTGCATTTCTTATTTTTTGAGTTATTGCCCTTTGTTAATTTTCATACTTTATTTTACTTTATTTTTGTCTGGGCCATTTCTCCTAATGTATAAAAGCTATGGACTTGAAACTTCATAGGATGATAGATCTCATTAAGAAGAAGTGCAGTGCATAAGAACCGGTACCTTGCATTTCTTATTTTTGAGTTATTGCCCTTTGTTAATTTTCATACTTTATTTTTATCCAGGCCATTTCTCCTAAAGTATAAAAGCAATGGTCTTTAATTTTCACAGGATCATAGATCTAATTAAGAGAAAGTGCAGTGTACAAGAACCGGTACTCTGCACTTCATATTTTTGAGTTATTTACCTTTATTAATTTTCATACTTTATTTTTGTCCAGGCCATTTCTCATAAATTATAAAAGCTATAGACTAGAAACTTCGTAGGATGATAGATCTTATTAATAAGAAGTGCATTGCACAGAAACTGCAGCTCTGCACTTCTTATTGTTTAAGTTATTGCCCTTTGTTAATTTTCATATTTCATTTTTGTCCTGCCCATTTCTCCTAAACTACATGTATATTGTTCACAAGGCGACACATCCGACTCGCGGAGTTCTAGTTTGTTATAAAAAGCGTTCCCATTAATTAAGCTTGTAGTTGACTAGAGGCACCAGACATCACATCTCAACTTAAAAATACTTGTGATGGGAATATTATAATGTATCTAGTTTCATAATTTACTGTTAATCTTGTTAATAAAAACAAGTACTTAACAAGGCTGTTATATTGTTTTATTCAGGTTTATGTTAAATAAATTGTGTGCTTCCGTCTACTTGATATGTCAGCAAAATACCGGAAAACGCTCATTAAGACTTTTCTGATAGAAGATGAAACTGCCATACAAATTTGTTTCAATAATATTTTATATTGCCCTCATAAAGAAGTTTTTTTTAATGATATACTGATAATATAGTGCTGTGAAAAAAATGATGATGTTTGATAAGTTTCAAGAGTTTGTTCAGCATAAACATACAATATGTTCATTGCTATACATACGATATAATGTGCATGTAATATGACAAGAAAACAAACAAACAATCAAACAAACAACAAAATAAAATACATTTGGGAACAATAAGAATAACCCAAACACGATGATGTTTGATAAGACAGAAACGTAGTATAAATTTTAGTGAAGTTTCATGTTCACCGGGGTCACTTATATTGATTAACCTGCGCATAGTTTTGCTCAAATGTGTTGTGCATTTAATTCTATATGTCTACTATATAAGAACAGATCCGAGAGTGCCGCAACGTTTGAGCTAAGCATATACATTGTACATTCATTGACTTCAAAAATCAGCTGTTTGTTTAGCATTTCATGTGCATTATAGCCAGAGATGTGTTTATTTTACGCTACTTGTATGAGTAATAAAGTAAGACACATGAGTCACATAACTTGCATTTATTCATAGATATAAAGTTACAAAAATATATATATTGTATATGATAATGAAACTTTTTAACGGAAAACAAATGTTGAGATGAAATAAGATAAAGGGTTAAGTTTACAGTGGCAGTATATAACAGTTATCTAAAATTGCTATAAAAATCAACGTGATATTGTAACTATTCCGATAAAATTATATATAAAAGTATATAGGAGTACGAAAACTTTCAACAGGAACAATATTGATCTTATAATATATTAAGTAGATTTTCAGGGTTCTGGTTCCACAGTATGTTACTGTGCCAAAATCTTTGATAAAACAATGAACGCATATCTTATGTATAAAGAAGTTAATGTTCATTGAAGAAAAATTCAAAACAATACAATGTATATACATTTTAGATGAACACTAACAGTAATAGGTTACTCGCATTAGGTCAGATCGTATTGCCTATAATTTAATATCCAGTATCATGTTAGGATGGGGGGCAAATAGAGGCTGATTAAAATAACATTGATAACGATGTTTGAACAATTGGATTAAACTGATGATATTTGTATTGCTGTACGTTAAGTATATACACGCAGGTAGAGTTTTATAGATTTTTTCGCCTTCTTACCGCATATTATTACTAACCAAACAACACAGCTTCCAAAAAGATCATTTTATACTTTGATAATTACCGTAAGTTAAAAGCACATATAAATGGTTCAGCAACTCGATCTATTTGAAACAGGGAAGTTTTGTTCATAAACGCTTATATGTTCCCGAATACTGCCCTCCTTCTTCTCCTTATGATTAAAAACACAATGGTTGCGATGATTCCTCCTATCAGGGCAACAACAATTAATACAGCGCCCCCTGTAAAAATGATATGTATATGTTACTGTCTATTGATATTATCTTATAGTAACATGTTTGTCTGATCACTTCATAGTTCACATAATTGCCAATACTCGTTATACTGAAAAGACTGGTAAAATGAAATGTGCTTCTTTAGGAATACATAAATAAATCGTCTAAAAGGCTACAAGTTATCATTAAATGGTTGATTTAAATTTAAAAAATGAGAAAAAATTCTTAATATTCATCATTAATGTAAACAACACTAATGTTTTAACGGAAACTGATACATTCATCAAAACTATCACAGATACTGTTTGCTTTCCATTGTGACGTTATATTCTCACAAAATGTTTGTTTGGTGTATAAATAATATAAAGATCATCAAAGTATACTTACACCAAGGGAAGCTTGTTGACGTGGAGGAGATACATGATGTACTGAAACCTGTGGCTGTACTTGTACAACAACAATTTTTAGGCTGCCCTGTCTTTTCACTGCAACAGTACCCATCTGTAATATGTACATGTTATGACAAAAATTACAGCTATTGAAAGTTAACATAATAATTATTATAATATACAACCATTAGATTTGATCACTGAGAAATCAAAGAAATCTTGTTACATAATTATATAACTTGTTGTTTGTTTTTTGTTGTTTTTTTAAGAAATAAAGTCAATGACAGCAAATAAAATGAAATTGATTTCGCTACGATAATACATACCTTTACACGGAGTTTGACCACACGTTTGACAATACTGAAAGACGTTATAATTAATAAAAAACATTTAATTTAAAGCGTGATTCATGTATTTTAATGTGTGTATATGATATATCAAATGAATAATAGTCTATAGTTATGGTTGAAATCAGAAGCGCCATTTTAAAGGGACTCCACTGAGGTTTAAAAGCCTAACAACATAACATTTGAATTTCTTACATAAATGAGCTGGGGCACTTAAAACAGAAATATATGCAAAGATAGTTAAGAAATATACTTTGAAATAAATTGAAAATCGTATTTTTAAGATTTTCTTAGCCTTTGAGTGAAAAGTGTTTAAACGCTTTCCATTTTGGGTCATTTTTTCCAATTTGAATAATGATTCTGGAAAAAAATGATCTGAAATTGCACAAAGATCAGTGGTCTAAACATACATCAAATGGCACATTTAGCTGGAAAACATATTTTCATTCCCACCATGTCAAAAAACCTTGAGTGGAGTCCCTTTAATGTTAAATATATGGTATAAATGCATTAGTATAGAAACCTTAGTAAGTGATGTCAGGGTACATGGTTAATTTAGTTGATAGTAGATTCTCAAGAGTTTATAATATTTTTTCTATATATAAACTTGAAGTTCGACAAAAATTGGAAAAAATAATTTTCAAAATATAGTAATCAAAATAAACTTACTGCAGAATAAAATAGAGATGATACCATACACAAATATATCAATGTCTGACGAGAAAGTACCTCCATTTCACTGTATATCTTTATTTACAATGATATAACGATATATACTATCCCACGTATTTTAAAACTGGACACTCCACTAGTATAGAGTACACCGACGATTAATGTTATTGTTAAACCGATCGTGTAAACAAATTAGAACATGTAAACCCCTATTGTCAAATTCGGGTAGTATATTGAACATGTGAGGAATGGGTGTTATATTAAACATAATTTTCTTTTTCGTCCGCAAAGATTTTGTCACATTCAAATTTATCATTACTTTCGAATAATCCTTATTGTGCTGAAACGATCATTTTATATTGTATTATTAAATATCTTGTTGATACAACAATTAATATGACCTTAATTGATGCATTTAATATAACTTTAAGTCATTTTACATTGGTTATTGTGTTATCAGTGTGAATAAAACAGTCAACGTAGAAAATTACAACAACAAAAATAATAGATACATTTAACTACATTAATTTAATTATTATAACGACGCGATGTAAAGGACTTGTTCCCTGCGGTCTGGAGACCGCATGGTATTGGTACGCGTTTAACTTTTGAGGCATGGAGGAGCACGTGACCTGTTTTCGGTACATGGAGGAGCATGTGATCTGTAAACCGTACATGATTGGTTAATTTACCTTTTCGAAAACCTGGCTAAATACCGTTTGCCGGTACGTTACGGATAATCCTCTAGGGAATAAGTCAGAATTACAAGAACAAAAAACTATTACGTGATATTTTTAATTTTCTATAATTATAATACCGTTTTAGGTGGAAAAACTTGAATGATGTGTTTGAAAATTATCAATGTTTCTTTAATATGTATCTCAAAATGTTACAAACAATAAATTGTTTATACTGAAAATCTGCAAAATTAAAATATTCCTAGTGGCATCTGCCATAATAAATAGAGATGTTTTCTGCGAAAACTTGCGTGTTTTTTTTCGGAATAATTCATAAAATGGTAGGCCTATTTTATCATTTTCTTAAAAAGAAATAATTGTTTTATGTTCGACCTTCTCCGGTCATTAACGGTCACCAGTTTCCAAAGACCTTCTTCTATATTGATCGATTATTGTCAACTATATTCCTGATACAAACGTTTATTTATCCACCCACCCAAACAATGTTGAAGATAGTTAAATGAAATATTTTTATACCATCAAAAATGTCCCCCGCAGGAAACCATTTTACTTGTTGTGTCTTGTTTGTGCTGCACTAGCTAGTAAACATTGTCCGCAATTTGTTTCGAATAGACTGTTTCTTGTTATGGTCAGACGATATTGACAAACGAAAGTGCGCCAATTAGTTTTAAAGTCTTGCTTTCTTGTACTATAATGTAATACTATAAATTTGAAGATCTCACAGCGGTGCCTTTAAAGACATCTAAATGGTGATCTGTAATGTCGAACTTTAAAATCTCGTGCAATGCATGTTTGTTTGTTTAACGAAATCATTGTTTATATCATGGTATAAATTTTGAATACAAAACCAATTGCTTGTCTAAACATTGCATATCCCACAACGTAGGAATGTGAAAATAAAGCAGGAACATTTCAAAAGTAACGCCGAATTATAAGAATAATGGCCTAAACTAAGCCGAGTCTTATAGGATCGCATGATTTACTGCGGAATGACACGATTTTCTTTACGAGTCGTCAATAAAAACAAAAGTACATAAAAACATTAACATTCATCAGCTTTACACTTCAGGACCAATTTTAAATGCGTTGCTTTGTTGAAAAAAGTTTTTATTTACATTTTTCTCCATTGGAACATTTTCCTCCATTGGAAAGATAAAATTTTCTTATCTCCGTATACAAATAATGGACCGTTCATCTGTCAGTAGTTTACCGAAACCAGGCTAGAATTAAATCATCACGTTTCATCTTAACCACCTAAAAGAGGAACTGTTTCACATGAAACGAAACGCCTTTGTGTTGCATTGGATTGTAATAAAATATCTGAATATTTCGATCTATCCGTTTGTTTACTTTTAAGAAACTAGGTAACATGTTTGTTTTGAAGAAATGTTGGTAACGGGTCTGATAACGTTAATGTAGGCTACTTTAATGTCTTATACATGTTTACAAGTTTATTCTCGCATTTGATTTTTTATTGTTGATAATTTGCTTATTAAAAGTTTATATATCGTTTAATTGGGATAAAATTAATTAATATCCAATACATAAGGATATACCAAATTAATACGGACGTGTCAGCTCTGTCTGTATATAATAAGATACATGGTGTCGGATTCCTGGTACAATACGACATTGATAAATCGTACCCGTCATGTCACAGTATAAAACGAGTACTACTAGTGCGATGAAATGCAATTTCCGTGTCGTAATGCTTCCGTAATGTAATCAACCGTAATGTCGTAAAATCTATTAAGGATAGGGGGGCTGTAGATTGCGTGTTACTATTTTTAGAATTGCGTGTTACTTTTTATACAATTGCGTGTTTCTATTTTTAGAATTGCGTGTTTCTATTTTTAGAATTGCGTGTTTCTATTTATAGAATTGCGTGTTACTATTTTTAGAATTGCGTGTTTCTATTTTTAGAATTGCGTGTTTCTATTTATAGAATTGCGTGTTACTATTTATAGAATTGCGTGTTACTATTTTTAGAATTGCGTGTTACTATTTTTAGAATTGCGTGTTTCTATTTTTAGAATTGCGTGTTACTATTTATAGAATTGCGTGTTTCTATTTTTAGAATTGCGTGTTACTATTTATAGAATTGCGTGTTACTATTTATAGAATTGCGTGTTTCTATTTATAGAATTGCGTGTTACTATTTATAGAATTGCATGTTACTATTTATAGAATTGCGCGTGACTATTTTTAGAAATGCGTGTTTCTTTTTTTAAGAATTGCGTGTTTCTCTTTATAGAATTGCGTGTTACTATTTATAGAATTGCGTGTTACTATTTTAAGAATTGCGTGTTTCTATTTTTAGAATTGCGTGTTTCTATTTTTAGAATTGCGTGTTTCTATTTTTAGAATTGCGTGTTACTATTTATAGAATTGCGTGTTACTATTTATAGAATTGCGTGTTACTATTTATAGAATTGCGTGTTTCTATTTATAGAATTGCGTGTTTATTTTCATATATATAAATGAGTATATTTATATATACAAAATAAATAAACAAAACTAATGTGACAAGACAGACCGATTAAATTTATAAAAAGGAAACGTTAAGATTTTTTCAAACCTTTCTTTGTTTGCTTTTAGAAAAAGTAAAAAGTCGAGCATTGCCCACGCCCGGCGGCGGCTCTTGTTAGCTTGTGCCTTAGCACAAAGTGCTTAAAGGTGTGCTTTTGTGAGGGCAACATGTCCATCTTTATAAACAATTTCTGCTAACAACATCTTCTTCTAACCATTGGTTGGATTTTCACAAAACTTTACAGGAATTATACTAAGGCGTTCCTCTATAAAAGTTATGCAAATAGTCTGAGTTTAATGCATGAGTAGAATAGATTTAGACAATGAAAGCGTCTCAGAAACTACAATGTCATTGTCTGTCGTGAGCTTAGATATCTTTCATGAAACACCACCTAGTGGTCCTCTACAAAAGTTAGAAAAATCGCACGAAAAATCGGCACGCCGCAGCCGGAACTCGAACCACGGGTCTCTGGATGGCTGGTCCAGTATGCTAACCACTACACCACAGCGGCCGTTGCTTTTTCTTCGTGCTAATTGGCCTTATATATTTAAGTTATTTTTAATTTTATTGTGACGTCATCACTTTTATTACCATAGCGGCGAGCTATTTATAGCTTCTTTAACCGCAGTTGGCTGACTCTGTCACTATTAATTTTCTTATTACAAATATCTTATGCCAAACACATTTATTGTTTTATAAGACTATTCCCGCCCAAGTATGAATATATATGAAAGAAAGAAAGTCATAAGCGGGAAATTTTACATTATTTGTGCGATTTTTTATGTATAATATCCCGCTATGACTTTCTTTCTTTCATATATATATATCATACTCAAGAGTTTAAATTGGTTCCATCCCATCCATGTGTCACTTAATTTATGTTGACTTTATTATACAGGAAAACACTTTCAAATTTTCTTTGGAATTTTGCAAGCTCAGAGCTTAATTAGCATAAAGCTTTGCTTAGTGATTATTAACTAAAGTCAATATCATCTAATTACTGACTTTTGCATTAAAAATTATGACATTTGCTATCATTGTATCTGAGGTGTACAGAGCAAATTAAGCTGTACTCATCAAGACATATGAAAGAAAGAATATATATAATAACATTTTGGTAACAGAGGGCGCCATTGGTTCAGGCAAATTTCTTTATAATCAGTTCTTAATATCGCTTACTGACAAGCATCATGACACACATGTATATTCAGAACTCCGCCCTCTACATTTACTTTATGTATTGTAGAACTTTGTCAGTTTGTCAAATCTTTTTGGGAAACACCTAAAATTCTTGGTATTTGTCTCGAAAGAACATAAATAAGTAAAAGGGGAAACGCTTGTTTTTACACACTATTTGATGTATAAGGTCTACAGCCTTTAAGTTTCTGAAAGTCTGGTACTTTTTTTCTTGAAATTTTTGTTCAAGATTTTGTCTGGTGATTCCCTTGAGTCAGAAAAATGAACTTGCTCAAAACCTATGATAAAAATGATTAACATATGCCATTATGAATCATGTATGAAACATGGTGTGCTGAAAGGTTGAGGGAGTTGATTATAAATATGAAAAGAGCATGGACAAGTAATTGCAAAAATGGGTATATGACTACGATTGAACTTAACGATCTACAGAAATAAAAAAATACAGCCTTTTGACAATTTTTACGTTAATAAAAGTAGTAATGTTGAAACATATAAGTTTATATAGAGGATATTTGTTTAGTTCAGTGTAAGATCGGAATATATTTCACCGAGTGAGCACCAAAAGGTATATTTCACGAGTGGCGCAGCTACGAGTGAAATATGAACTTTTGGTGTTCACAAGGTGAAATATATTTCGATCTTACACTAAACTAAACACATTTTCTTTTTATTATATGCAAAGAAACGTTTTAAAAAGACATAAAACCTA